GCTTGGGGCGAGTGTGCAGGAAGTTTCCGGCCTCTTCGAGATTCTGTGCGTGACGGAGTCATCCGAAGGATGGACACTGCATTAGTGTTTGGAGTGGAGGGGCCGGCCTCAGACTCTGGAGGCGGTTCGCAACCAAGCCGAATGCATATCTAGGTGTCTGGCGGGAACCAGTGGTCAAGGGCAGTCCATGCAAGTTTCATGAAAGCGGGCTGGGAAGGTCCTGAGTTCAATTCCCAGAAAACACATCACAGCCATCTATAATAGATCTGGTGCCCTCTTATGGCCTGCAGACTTGTATGCATGCATAGCACCGTATACATAATAAGTACATCTTTTAAAAAAAAACACCAAATTACGTGAAAGCAAGAGAAAAAGTTCTAAAATCGCTGCTGTCTTGAGAAATACAGCATTGTTGGAGGAGGAAGAACCATTAAAAGACAGTTGACAGCTGTGCTGGCCAATCTTATGTCCAACTCGACACACAACTTAGAGATAACTCTGAAAGGAGGAAACCTCAATTGAGAAAATGCCTCCATAAGATCCGGTTGTAAGGCCTTTTGTTACTTAGTGATTGACGGGAGAGGGCCCAGCCCAGTGTGGGTGGTGCCATCCCTGGGCTGGTGGTCCTGGGTTCTATAAGGAAGCAGGCTGAGCAAGCCACGAGGAGCAAGCCAGGAAGCAGCTCCCTCCATGGCCTCTGCATCAGCTCCAGCCTTGGAAACCTTTATTTCCTTCAATAATAAACAGTGATACGGAGATGTAAGCAAAAAAAAAAAATCCCTTTTCTCTCCAACGTGCTTTCTGGTCCTGATGTTTTCTTGCAGCAATAGAAACCCTAACGAAGATACCAGCCAACTATTTCAAGCAGTTGGAAAAGCTGGTCCTCAAGGCCAAGGAGATGAGTCTGTTTTGGAAAGAGAGCACTGCTTCCTGTACTTAAGGGACAAAAATCCAGAAAGCTTAGACAAGACTAAGAATGGGATATTCCTCTGTGTGTGTGCATGTCAGGGACTCAGGTGACAAAAACAAAGTTCTACAGCTTTATAAGGACTCTAATCCCACTTGTCTTTTGGAAAAAGATAAACCACCATTTTCCTGTTTTATGCCATGCTTAACCAGAAGTATCAATAATGATTGCCTTCTTTTCAGATTACTTCATGAAGCCTAGAAACAAATTGGCAGAGAAAAGTCTTGATTGTGGACAAAAGTACCAGCCATTCAAACTCATTCTTTGCTTACTTTAATGCTGATGACTGTTGTTCTCACCACTTCCTCCCAGAGGCTTGTTTCCTTTAGCCCCTGAATTATATTTTTTAAGCATCCAGTAATTATACCAAGAAGACATTAGACTACTTTGCTCACTGCATTAAAAAAAAAAAAAGAAACACAGCAGTCAGCTGGGCTTTGGTGGCGCATGCCTTTAATCCCAGCACTCGGGAGGCAGGGCAGGCAGATCTCTATGAGGCCAGCCTGGCCCACAGAGGGAGTTCCATAGACAAAAAGACCAGTCCCTACAAGCAGAGATTAACAATAACTCTAGGGAGGTTTGTGAGGCCGAATGTTTTTGTCTTGCCTGGTCCTGCCGGGTTGCTTTCTCTCTGACCCATCAGTCCCCGTACCTGCTTATGAAATAATCACTCAGAGGCTAGTATTAAATATAATTGCTTGGCCAATGGCTCAGGTTTATGACTGGCTAGCTCTCTTATAAATTAAACCATTTCTACTAATCTGTGTATTGCCACATGACTTTTGTTCTGGCATCTTTCTCCTTAGGCTGCTGTTGACATCTCTCTTCTTGGGCAGCTGGCTTGAATTCCTCTGGAGCCCGCCCTTCTCCTGTGTATCTGTTTGGATTTCCCACCTACCTATATTCTGTCTTTCCATAGGCCAAAGCAGCTTTAATTATCAACCAATGGGAGCCACATATATTCACAGTGTACAGAAGGATATCCCACTTCAGGCTGGAGAGATGGCCTGAGCCATTTCTGAAGGTTAAGAGCACTGGATGCTCTTCCATAGGTTCTGAGTTCAATTCCTAGCAACCACGTGGTGGTTCACAACCATATGTAATGAGATCTGATGTCCTCTTCTGGTGTGCAGGCACATATGCAGGCAGAACACAAAATAAATAATCGTTTTAAAAAAGATAACTCTAAGGCAGTTTAATGCTGTGTATGCCAGCCCTCAGCCCCCACTGCCTGTAATTGAATGGATTCTGTGCCTACAAGATGGCTCAGCAGGTAAAGGCACTTGCTGTCAAACTTACCTGAGTTCCATTCCTCGTGGTGGAAGGAGAGAGCTGATTCCCACAAGTTGTCATGGATGCAGCACCGTGTTGTGAAGTGCTGGCTCATAGACACACACACCCCCTCCTGTAGGGACCAATGGCTCCCTGATAACCACACAGAGACTTGTTAATTATAAATGCTTGGTCAACAGCTTACACGTGTTACTAACTAGCTCTTACAACTTAAATGAACCCATATTTATTAATTTGCTTGCTGCCATGTGGCTCATGGCTTGTTATCTCATTTTTTATACGTCTTACTTCCTCTCCATCTGGCTGGCAACTTTGCCCTTTTTCTTCGAAGCATTCTCTCAGGCTGGCTCTCCTGCCTAAACTCTTCCTGCCTAGCTATTGGCCAGGTGGCTCTTGGTTAAACCAATGAGAGCAGCAGATCTCCACAGTGTACAAAAGGATTATTTCACAGCACCCTCCATATGCCGTGGATTTCTGAATAACCCATAAAGAGGTAGAAGAAAACTCACAAAAGAAAGAGATGGGAAACAAATGAAGTTGGTGATGGAGAGGGATGCAGGATCCGAGTCTGAGGGGAAGTCCGACATTGGCCCAAAACGGGAATTGTCAGAATTTCATAGGGAAGAAAAGGGAGAATTGATGTGAGTGAAAGGCCTCTAAAAGCATGTTTGTAATCCCACGAAGTGGGAAGATTGAGAATTTCTGTCCCAAGAGACTGCCAAAGCCATACATGCTCAACTGGACTTAGAGGATCTAACCTGAGCATTGACCATGAAGAGAGTAGAAGCATCCAGAGGTTGCTTCTTCCAAATAGTGGTTCCTCCTGCCACCCATCCTTCAGCATCACTAGCACCACTGCCACATCCATAGTTGCCAGCCACTCACCCATAACAGCCAGTCTTCCAACAGGTGCTGAGCAATTGAATTCAGGTAATGGTCATTGATACGCCCATTTTCATTGATGTAATAGGTATGGAGGATTATAGTGTAGTCCTGACTTACTTTTGTAGGCTTATAAAGGGTTTTTTAGGGGTCTTCAGCCTTATTTTTTTCTAACTATATTTTGACAGATAACTAAGTTTTTCAGTTACAAGTAAAAACAGGTAGTTGAGCCGGGTGTTGTGGTGCACTCCTTTAATCCCAGCACTCGGGAGGCAGAGGCAGGCAGATCTCTGTGAGTTCGAGGCCAGCCTGGTCTACAGAGTGAGTTCCAGGACAGCTTCCAAAACAATACAGGGAAATTCTGTCTCCAAAAACCAAAACCAAAACAAACAAAACAACAACAAAAACCAAAAAAAAAAAAAAAAACGGTTGAAAAGAACTGCTTTTGAAACTGTAGCATGGTTATATGTTTTATAAATTACTCAATGTTAATCTTTTGTTCTTCATATCTGGGAAGTATGAGCCTTTTCCTTATTCCCCTCATCTCAAGTAAGTAATTTGCTTGAATGTGCAGCTAACAATTTAATTTGATTATTATTTTTGCTAGGAAACCAGGGCTTTAACACTTAGATCAACAGATCATTACAACTACTGGCGACTGGGAACTGGTCTCACAGACCAGATTTGGTTAATGTGTTTCTCTGCTCAGTCTGGAACAATTTTTGGTTTGTTTCCCATATCTGCTCATTTTTTGTTTGTGAGTTTGTTACTAGTTCCCTTTTTAAAATTACTGTTTGACTATTGCACGTGTCTGTGGGTGTGGGTGTGTCACGTGGATACGTGGAGGTCAGAGGACAACTTGCTCCCTTTCATCGCTTGGATTCTGGGATTGGCTCAATTCATCAGGTTTGGTGGCAAGCACCTTAATTTAATGAACTATCTCTCTGGCTCCAAACTCACCAGTTAAAGTGTAGATTTTGTTGAAAACACACACACACACACATACACACACACACACACCTACCAGAATAATCTAGATATAAGCTGGTCTCTGTATAGCTAAGCTCCTTCCTATGCCTGGAGTTGTCAAATTAGGATATTTCACATTAAAAAGCCCAGCCCAGCCGTTGGTTTCACACACCGTTTTTAATCCCATCACTCAGGAGGCAGAGGCAGGGGCAGGCAGATCTGTGAGTTCAAGGCCAGCCCAGTCTAAAGAGCAAGTTCCAGAACATGCTCCAAAGCAATACAGAGAAACCCTGTCTTGAAAAACAAAACAAACAACAAAAAGTTGGAAACCATAGCCGCTGAGAACTCTGTATTTCTGAAGGACGACAACACTCAGCTGCTGACTTACTGCCTTTCTCCTGTTTGCCGCTCCCTTGCTTCTAAGTGGGTCTGGTCTGTGCTAAAATGAGATGGTGCTGGGCTTAATTCTAGGAAAGGACAACTAACTGGCCTGGGAAGCGAGGGGTCAGTTCAGTGGGGAGAGAAGTAGAGATCAAAGTTAAGGTACAGGTAGGTAGGGAGGGAGGGAGGGAGGGACATGGGACAGAGAGGCAGTTCTGTATGAGCTCTTGTTTGATTTTGTGGGTGGCTTTGGCCTGTTGACTGAAGGGTTTTAACTGCAGGCTGCAGCTTGGTGTGCTGTGGTTTCTGAAGGTTTTGTTTCCTAAGAAAGGTTTGTCTTTTTACCTGTATGTGTGTGATTTTATTGTTTACTTGAAGAGAAAGGAAAAGTAGCATTATTTTTTGCCGGAGTAGTAGCTCTGGAAAGTAAGCTCCAAGGAGAGGTGAGACCAGTGGAAAAAAAACAGCTTTCTTTCCCAGGCTGCGGGCAGGCGGTCTCCTGGCCAGCCTACCTGGGAGGGGCAGAGCTGGATGGTGTCCTGGAAAAAGGTGTGTGGGGGTGGAGGAGGCTGCCGTTGAAGGCCCTGGCTTCTGCCTGCCAGCGGCACCTACCTAAGGCTGCAGTCCTCCGAGACTGCTAGTGCTAACTCCCCAGCAACACGATGGACAGGCCGGAATCCCGGTGCCCTCCCGCAGGCTCCCTCAGGCTATTTGTCCTCACGTGCCTCCTGGTGAGTGCCCCAGTCTGTGACACAGTCCTCTTTGCCTGAAGCTTCTGCTTGGGGGCTGAGGGAGAAGAGGTGAAGGAAAGGTATCTCTCTTCACTGCTCTTGGGGTTATGAGCTGTGGGCAGCTTGTAGAAGAACTGAGATCCTTCGAAGCCCTCAATGTCCCTCCCGGAAGCTGTCCAGTGTTTCAGGGTTTCCAGCACCCTTTATGTCTGCCTTGTGGGGATAAGTGTTCTGTGAGGGAAGGAGTGTTTCTGGTACATTCTCTCCTAAGACCCTTTCCTAGGGTCTTTGCCTATTGCATTATGCTTTGCTATGTTTTCTGCAGGCTGTTTTCTCATCTCCTAAACGCTCTACAAGGTTTAGGTGTGACAGCGGAACAGTTGCAAATGGTAGGAGGGCAGGACTGTAGAGTCCCAAGCTTCAGGCTCTGCCTGATGGTGGTGGACTCCCACAGAGTCATTAACCCCCTTCTCTGGCCATTGTGTCCACATTTGTTTTTGTTTGTTTTATTTAAGCTCTGGATTTGTAGTCAGGAAAACATATAAGCTGGATGTTGTGTTGATGTCACAGTAATTACAGGTTACTTAAAACTAGATTGGTTAAAAGTTTCATCCACCCGGTTAGGTGAGGCTCACGACACCGACTAACCTCTTAAAGGCATAGGTGCTCTAGGACACAGAAGCCTGGCCGGCTGGTGCATTCTATAATACCAACATTCAGGAGGCTGAGGCAGGGAGATCCCTGCATATTTGAGGCTTTCCTGGTCTACATAATGAGTTCAGGTCACCCAAGGCTACATAGCAAGCCCCTATCTCAAGAAAGAAAGAAAAGAAAAAAGGGAGAACCAGGCACTGGTGGCTCACGCCTTTAATCCCAGCACTCAGGAGGCAGTGGCAGGTGGATCTCTGTGAGTGTGAGGCCAGCCTGGTCTACAGAGTGAGTTCCAGGACGCAGTCACAGAGAAACCCTGTCTTGAAATACCCAAAACCCAATAAAGAAAGAAAGAAAAAAAAGAAAGAAAGAAAGAAAGGAAAAGAAAAAAGGGAGAATGGCTGGATCAGATAGGAAATAACTGAATGATACATAAAATATTTCATGTAAGTATAAAATTAGAGATGGTGTATAGTAAAGATAGAAAAGATATAAAGTATTAAAATTTTGTAATATGAAGACATTTCTTTAAACTTGTTTGTGGAGTTGCCATAGCCTATAAGGAGCTTGCCAGGAACATCATTCCAATGAAAAGAAGAGCTAGGCACAACAGCACACATCTGGACTACAACATCTGGACACAACAGCACTAGGGATGGTGGAACAGATAGATGCTTGGAGCTCATTGAACTGTCTCAGAAACAAAATGGACCCTAGACAAAGGACTATGGGCAACTAAGGAATTCTGAGAGCAGGAGAAGTAGCCTTCCCTAGGGACATTACCACATGGTCAGCCCTGAAACTGTCTGTCTGTCTGTAACACTAGATAGATTGAACAGGTTGTATTTATATATTTATGTGCTTATATATATGCAGAGATAACAAAGAAAAGGAGGGGAATGGGAGGAATTGGAGGGAGGAAAAGAAAGAGGGAATGCCCAGCACTCGGGAGGCAGAGGCAGGCGGATCTCTGTGAGTTCGAGGCCAGGCTGGACCGACAGCCTCCAAAACAATACAGAGAAACCCTGTCTCATAAAACAAAAAACAAAAAAACAAACAAAAAAAAAGAAAGTGGGAATGACATAATTATATTTTAATTTCAAAAGAATAATTTTTTAAAAGTTGGAAAGTAGGGGGTGTGGGAGGAGGGGAGGGAGAGGGAACTGGGATTGACATGTAAAACAAGCTATTTAAAATAAAAAAAAATTTAAAAAAGTTGGAAAGCAACTGAGGAAGACACCCAACACAGACCTCTGGCCTTCACAAGCTCAACGCATAGATTATAGTCATATCTTTTCACAAACTCAGTGCATCTGCACATGTGTGCATTGTACACACAACACATATAGATTATAGTCATATCTTTTCACAGGCTTAGTGCATCTGCACATGTGTGCATGTGTACACACACAGCACATAGATCACAGTCAGATCTTTTCACAGGCTCAGTGCATCTGCACATGTGTGCATGTGTACACACAACACATAGATTATAGTCAGATCTTTTCACAAGTTCAGTGCATCTGCACATGTGTGAGTGTGTACACACACATAGATTACAGTCAGATCTTTTCCTATTAACGTGAGTGTTTGGTATGGCATTGACAGTAGTGAGTATAGCTGCCTTCAATTACAGTAAATGTTTCTGTCATTTCCATCCACCAATTTTGCATTCATAGAAGTCATTTTCTTTCTTTCTTTTTTTTTTTTTTTTTTTTTGTTTTTTTTGTTTTTCGAGGCAGGGTTTCTCCGAGGCTTTTGGAGGCTGTCCTGGAACTAGCTCTTGTAGACCAGGCTGGCCTCGAACTCACAGAGATCCGCCTGCCTCTGCCTCCCGAGTGCTGGGATTAAAGGCGTGCGCCACCAACGCCCGGCTCATAGAAGTCATTTTCTAAACTGCCATCCATTATTGGGGCCACACTGATGTTTTGTACTTATGATACTTTGTTAAAATCTATTGGTAGTAAGATTTTTTCTTTTGGGGTACCCAGCTCCCAAATGAAGCACACAGGGAGGCTTATTCTTAGTTATGAGTGCCCAGGCTTAGCTTGACTTGCTTCTAGCCAGCTGTTCTTATCGTAAACTAACCTGTCTTCCTTCTCCCCCTGGGCTTTTCCTGTTTTGCTTCTGTAAATCTTACTCTGTGAACTTCTGTGCAGCTGGATGGCTAGCCCATGATGTCCTCTCTCCTTGTTCTCTCCTTGCTCCTCCTTCATTTTCTCCTTCTGTTTATCCTGTCTGCCAGCCCCGCCCATCCTTGCTCCTGTCCTGCTATTGACCATTCAGCTCTTTATTAGGACCACCAGATGTTTGCGACAGGCACAGTAACACAGCCTCACAGAGTCAAACAAATGCAGCATAGACAAAAGTCACACCCTTTAAAAAATATTCCCCAACACATGTCCACAAATAATGTCCACTGTCTAGAGTGGTAAGGTGCTGTCAATATAGAAATAAAGAAGAATGAAGACTTAACTGTCCAATGGGGGAGGTGATAGCAGCCACAGTGTACTTCAGTGTTCTGGCAGTTCTGATCCCTACCTGTTAGATGACAATATCATCCCCTTCCTGGTCATGAGCCAAAATTGTCTCCAGACTTTGCTAAGTCCCTTGGAGGACAAAAACCACCCTGGCTTGAGTTTGTATCCCCTGCCTCTGGTTACTTTGAGCCAAGGCTGCCTTAGGTAACACTGGATGGTCTCATGCCTCTTAGTATGTTGAGTGTGAGCTCATCTCATGCTTCCAGGACAGCTGGCATGAGTTTGTATTTCAGCTTTGTGTGCCCACCACGCCTGCTGGCTCAAACACCCCAGCTCTTTCTTAGCTGTTGCAGCTGAGGAGCAGTCAGGCTGCCTCCTTCCCTTCCAATAACATGTGTGGGTCAACTTCCCGTTGGTAAGCGTTCCTTTTGCTTACAGTTGTGCTCAAGTCACATGTTAGGGAACTCAGGGGGGTCACAATCTGTGTCCCAGTTACCATTGAGATGTCAATGAAAACAGCCACATAGTGAAAAGCAGGAAAAAGGAAGACTGATCCAGTTGGGAAGAGAGATGAGGAGACCCAGTGGTCCCACCAAGTCCATCCTCATTGAGAAGAAAGACGTCAAGACTCTCCCACAAGGTGACTCAGCCGCCACTGACCCATCATTGTCTGGTGTCTGGTCTCCAACAAGGTGGCCCAGCAAACTGTCAGCCGTATGTGAAATCTGTTTCTGGGAGGCAAGTTCCCTCTCTGGTCAGTGTCAAGTACAGCCTTTTTCTTCTCATAGCATGAATATCCTGGGGAAAAGAAGTTTTCTTTCTTGGGCCCATTGTTCCAGCAATCGGATCGTCAGAATGAGGGACACAAATATTGCAGCAAGGCCAGTAATGCTTACAGTGGGTAGTCCCCAAGTCCTACTTCCTTCAAGTTAGCTAATGTTGACACTGCCATCTGGTTTGCACACTGACAGTGCATTTTACTAGCCTGCAAGTGTTTATTTAGAGCCATGTGTCAAGAGCTAACCTGGGGCCGTGGTCACAGGCACAGCTCTTCTTTACTGTGTTAGGGATCCCAGGTTGTACTTCTGTTCTCATCAGCGTCCCTGGCACCAAGTCAGGCGGCATGGCAGGGGCCCGTCTCCATCGCCGGTACCTCCGAGTCAGGCAGCATTGGGCAGGGGTGGGGATCCCATGTCCAGTTCCTCAGTGAGGCTGGCAAGAGGGGAGGAAGTGCCTTCTTTAGCAGTAGTGGCAAGACCCGAATTCCTCCCTCTAGTACTTTTAGTTTTTCCTTATAATCCAAACGAACTTTCATTTAAGAAGCAATGGTAAAAGCTTCCTTGAAAAGCTTGGTTCATTTTTGCTTCGTAACTACTAGGTCAGTTCCAGAGGGTGCTGTGTTGAAGTGGAGGCACTAGTGGAAACTGCAGGGGGTAAGAAGAATCCAACCAGAACATTAAAATCTAACTCAGGACATTAAAAACATTGCCTAATGAACTAGAGAGCCAGCTTGGTTGTTAAGAGCACTGGTTGCTCTTGCAGAGGACCTGGGTTTGGTTCCCAGAACCCACATGGTAATTCACAATCATCTGTAACACCAATTCCAGGGGAATCTTCTGGCCTTTGCAGGCACCAGACACGCACATGGTACCCAGACATACATGCAGGCAAACACCCATACATATGAAAAATTTTTAAAAAGGTAAAACAACAAAAACATTATTCAGAGCATGTTAAGAACTACAGTCAGGCCAGGCATTGGTGGTGCACGCCTTTAATCCCAGCACTGGGGGAAGGGGGCAGAGGCAGGTGGATCTCTGAGTTCGAGACCAGCCTGGTCTACAAGAGCTAGTTCCAGGACAGTCTCCAATACAGAGAAACCCTGTCTCGAAAAACAACACAAAACAAACAAACAAACCAGAACTACAGTCAGAAACCACGTGACAATATGAAATGGAGGGAGGACAGAGGTTCCCTGGAAGAAAGCATGAGTCTGGGCTGGGAGACGAGGGGCGGCCATTGCTCAAGCTGGCTGGGTTGCAACCTGACTCTTAGGCTGCCACTGTCCTTTTAATGCTTCTACGATGACGCTGGAATGGAAGGTCCTTCAGCTCCTTTCCTCTCAGGTACCTTCCTCTACGATAATAAGAAAATGATAACTCAGATGTTTTCTCCCACGGCTACTGTCATTACTCAGGATCTTGATGTCTTTTTCTGAGCCGGGGAAATGACTTCCTAAATAGGCTGCTTCCTGGCTAGTCTCTATTCCTCGCCTGCTCAGTCTTCTACGCGGATTGGCCATATTGTCATGTCCTACTTACAACCTCCCAAGTACCTGCTACCTGAATCCAGACACACGATCCCCAGTTTGACCCCCTTTCTTTGTGGTGCTAGCCAGATTTATTGCTCTCTGACCTCCCCACCCACATAGGAAGGCCTGTGGAAACAGGGTGCTCTATACCCCTGGAGTTGATTTAGTGCCTCAGTGCCCCCATCAATAATCTGACTTACTGTCATTGTTTGAGTGTTTGCTACAGGCTCGTGTGTCTGAATACTCGATATCCAGGTAGTGGTATGGTTTGAAGGGACAGAGACTCTCTGAAGAAAGTAGGTCATTGGAGGTGGGCCTTGATGCTTATAATTCTACCTCTCCAGTCTCTGCCTCCTCGTGTGGGAAAAACCAGCTTCCACACATTGCCCTCACAGTGATGGACTACTATTTTGTTTGTTTTAAAATGTTCTGGTTTTTAAGGGTGTGTGTGTGTGTGTGTGTGTTTATGTGTGTATGTGTGTGTGTGCGCGTGTGCATGTGCGTGTGTGTTTATGTGTGTATGTGTGTGTGTGCGCGTGTGCATGTGCGTGCGTGTGCATGTGCGGGCGTGCTTGTGCAGCTGCACACACATCTATGCAAGTTCGTATTGAGTGTCTCCCACTGTTGCTCTCTATTTATTTGAGGTATGGTCTCTCACTGAACCTGGAGCTGGTTGACTGGCCAGACTGCTGTCCAGTGAGCCCCTCTGAGTCTCCTGTGTGCCTCATAGCACTGAGACTACAATCGGGTGCTGGGATGCCTAGAGTTTTGCCTGGGTGCTGGGGATCCAAACTCAAGTCTTCATGCTTGCACGGCGAGCACATCACCCAGTGAGACATCTCCCTAGCCTGACTGAATTCCCATAAACTAAGTCCAAATAATTTTTGCCTCTCTTAATTTGCTTCTTGTCAGGTATCTGGTCAACACAATATCAAGAGTGACTAATATAGAAAACTGATGCAGAGAAGCAGGGTTGGTGTGACAAGCCTGACCCTATTGCTTGTTATGCCTCTGGAACTGGCTTATGGGAGGAACCTGAAGTGGTTTGGAGCTCTGGGCTAGGGAACCCATAGACTGCTAAAAATAGACCTGTGGATCTGTGGTGGCAGTTTGGAGGGCCAGAATGACTGTGTAAATGTTGCTGACAACTGTGCTTCTGAGGTTTCAGAGTAGAGCAAGGACTGCTGGGATAAGCAAAGGAGCTCATTTAACCTGAAGTGGTTTTTTCCCCCAATATATATTTTTATTTATTTTTTACATTCCAATCCCAGCTCCCCCACCCTCTTCTCCTCCCCCCCCCCACCTCCTATCAGGGAGTCTTCTAAGTCTGTCCCATCATCTCATTGAGGCTGGACCAGGGCACCTCTCCACTCCAGGGCAGAGCAGCATGGAGAAAGCGCTGCTTTTGTTAAACAGATTGCTTTTAGAGAAACCACACTCAGCTGCTGGGGCATTAGGAAAGGTGCGAACCCTGCACGTGGAAAGCTCCGTTTGAAATTCACGTGAAATGAGAGTGCTTGAACAGAGTGCCCCGATCCCTTAACGGCACACAGAGAACACTGCATCTGTGGTCTGAGTGGGACAGGCTGTATCTGAGCTGGCGGTGGAAGTTGGCTTTCCTCACAAGATGCTGGTATTGCAGGCATGTAAAGCACAGGAGTTACAGGCTCACAGAGTCGGCACCAGAATCCAGAAAGTTCTGAGGCCAGATTCCATCAATGGGACCCCTGAGTGGGCTGACTCTGAAACTGTGAAGGTGGCATCTCGGTTGCAGTGGCAACGACAGGATATTGGGGATGCCAGAAATATGGCACTGGTGGAGGGGACCCCAGACAGGACACACATAGGGCATGTGACGGAGCTGGAAGGGTGGGCTAACCAAGCCCGCTGCAGTACTGAACTGTTCCCTGCAGGGTCTGGGTCTGCCCTGCTGGGTTTTGGTCATACTTTGGCTCAATTTTCCATGCTAAGCATCTGTTCTTAACTTTGGTATTGAGACTGTCCACACTTGGGTATTGTATGCACATTTGAATTATAGGGGCTCCTGACTTTGAACTTCTGTAGAGCTGTATGACTATGCCTGAAGACTTTTAAAGATAGACTGACTATATTTGCATTGTGAGATGGCCATGGACCTTTGGGGCAGATATAGAGATGTCTCCAGTAGGCTCGTATATTTGAACAGGTTTCCCAGCTGATGGCGTGGCTTTGGACACTGTGAAGCTTTCAGGTAAAGGTTATTAAATGGAGGGAGTTGGTGGCAGGGCAGCCTCTGCCTCGTCTTTGGCAAGATAAATGCCTCAGGCCACAGCCCTGCCTCTTGCTTCCCCAGTCACACACACCACGTGTAAGCCAAGTTGCTTCCAGTCATCACAATGAGAAAAGCAACCAATACAGAGAGTATCTGCTCCGCAAAGCCTGCTCGTGCCCCTCCCCAAGGAAAATCTACTCTTCCGTCCTTGTAATGATTAGTCCCAGTAGTGTGGGTTGCATAATTTTAAAACTGTTTGTCCTAAACTATGCACAACACCGGGCACAGATCAATGAATGCAAGTGAAATTACTGTCTAAAACATCAGGAGAGACAAGTGCTTACCATTAAAAATAACCTTCACAGGGTGTTAGCTCTTCAGCAAGTGAAAGCTACAATTACCTGCAGTAACAGTTCCGTGCAGTAAAAATGGATTTGAACTCATCCAGACTTGAGTCCAAACTCTGGCTTCAACATATAAAGCTATGGTTTTGAAAAAGGTTTTTTGCCTCACTTATTTGTTTTTTTCCTTAGCTACAAAATGCAGAGGAAAGCATCTAGGCTTGAGGGTTTTGTTAAGTGTGGATAAATCAGTATGTGTGGGTGCCAGAAGTCGACCTTGGCGTATCATTCTTCATTCGTCTTGTTATTTATTTACTTAATGTTGTTTAGGTGTTTTGCTTACCATGTATGTGCCTGTGCCCTGGGAAGCCAAAAGAGGATGTCAGATCCCCTGGAACTTGGGTTGTGAACCATCATGTGGGTGTTGGGAATTGAACCCAAGTCCATTGAAAGAGTATTCAGTGCTCTAACCCTTGCTCTTTTTGGAGGGGGTGTTGGGTAGGGTCTGTCATTGGCATAGAACTTGCTGAGTCGGAGCCACAAGTATGCTGGGTGTCCTGTGAGCCCCGGGGATCTGCCCGTCTCTGCACCTTCGGTGCTCAGACTATAGGCATGGGCCACCAAATCTAGGGGTTTTCTATGGCTTGTGGGAATCTAACATTGGTCCAGAGGCCCACTTTACCAACTGAGCTAGCTTCTCAGACCCTGGGTATGAATACTCTTATGTAGTAAACTAAAATACAGGTCTCTGCAATTTGTTTTTGTTTTTGTTTGTAGATGGGGATGACAAAGTGATTCCAGTCTGGTGGAGCCAGGAATCACTAACCTGTGTTTGTCTTTTCTACCATACAGGTTCTGACAGCTGTTCTGACGTATCCTATGCTCAGGACCTTTAGCCTCTGGTTCCACTCCTCCCTTGCCAGGAGCTATGTCTCTGGCACTTACTCCATCGTTTTTGTCAACTGTCCCAATGAGCAAATTGCCAGAGACGTTGCCAGGTATAGTACAGGAGCTAAGTGATGCCCCTAAATGCATGGGAAGATACCAGGGTGCTCTCTAGGGGCCACGGGGCAGCCCTGCTGTTACTTTGTGAACGCCTTCTGTCCAGGGATGAACTCCATACTTTCTGCCTGGTGTGGGATGAGGAACCCATTGGATGATCCTGGTCGGTGTGACCCAGGGCTGACCCTCCTGCTATACTAGAGACTGTTAAGTGATTGATGGGGCAGGAAAGGAATATGAGGCCCATAGAGATAAGTGGATTGCTTGAGGCCTTAAAGAACTGTGAAAACCTACATGGAGCAGGTCAAACCCCCAATTGCTAGTCTAACTTATTTTCTCATCCCCTTAGCTCAATTCCTGAGGTGCAAGAGCACTGGGTTTGTAATCACATCATAGTTTTACTGTTGACTGTGCAACTTCCATTTATGTGACTTTGGGCAAGTGTTTTTACTCGTTTACTCTTAGGGGGCCTAGCATCCAGCTCCCAAATAAGAACACACAGAGACTTATTATTACTTTTAAATGCCTGGCCGTAGCTTGCTTTATTTCTAGCCAGCTTTTCTTAGTTTAAATTATCCTGTCTATCTTTTGCCTCTGGGCTTTTACCTTTTTCTATTTCTGTGTATCTATCTTTTCTTTCCTTCTTATTCCGTGTCTGGCTGTGTAGCTGGGTGGCTGGCCCCTTCTTTCTTTCTTTTTTTTTTTTTTTCTTTTTTCTTTTTGTTTGTTTTTGAGACAGGGTTTCTCTGTGGCTTTGGAGGCTGTCCTGGAACTCACTCTGTAGACCAGGCTGGTCTCAAACTCACAGAGATCCGCTTGCCTCTGCCTCCCAGGTACTGGGATTAAAGGCGTGCGCCACCACCACCCAGCAACCATCTATAATGGAATCTGATGCTGTGTTCTGTCTGATGTCCTCTTATGTCATGCAGGCACACATGCAAATAGAGCATTCATATGCATAAATAAAGAAATCTTTAAAAAAAAGACCCAGGAAAAAACAATGTGAAAAAGACTTTCTACTTGCCAAAACAAACACTGGACTGGGCGGGCAGCTTCTGCTTGGAGTTGTATGAGCTCTTTGTGGTCATGTGAAGATGTAGAGATCAGCAGGGGTGGCATTATGAAGGGAGCTCTTGGGAGTGAAGAAGGTCTTTGTTTAGTCAGGTAAAGAGGAGAGCTGTCTATCACAGAACAGGCACACGTTTCAGACAGGAAAGACAGGCAGAGTCCAGTCCGTCCTCCGTAGGCCCAGTGCCAATCATCCCGCCCCCCCCATCCCCCTGTTCCCCCCCCCACTGAGCTGGCCTTTAAAGTGGCCTCCCCACAGCCTCTTCTCTGTGTCCTCAGATGCTGATGTGTGGATGGTTACCAGTGGATGCAAAAAGGTGACCCCCACCCTTCTGTGGATGTAACTAAATGCCAGAGTAGGTCATTTATTTATAAATAAAGATGTATTTCACCTTATGTCTGTAGCTCTGGGAAGTCCAAGAGCATGCGACTTGGGATCTGACAGGAGCCCTCTGCCTGCATTGTTACATGGCACAGGGCATCACATGGCAGTAGAGGGCGAGCATGCTGATTCACCCCCTCTTCCTTTCCTTTCGAAGTCACCAATGCCACCATGGGGGCCCCGCCCTCATGCCCTCACTAACCACCCTCTAAAAGCTCTCCCTCCAAACCTCATTAACAGGATTTGTGGGATTATATTCCCAGCACAGGGATTCTGGGGACACACTCAAACCGTGGAGCTCTGCCTCTGGCCCCCAGCATTCAAAACCCAACATGGAAAACTGCCTTCTGTCCCCGAGCCCTGACACTGAACTAGCTGCACACCCTTTCAAAAGTCCCAGCCCACCTCTCATCTGAATCCATTTGGGTGAAACTCAGAGCACACCTGAAGCAAAGCGACTTCACCAGCTTGTGAAATCCAACAAGTTACCTGCTCTACAGGACAGACGTTTCCATTTCCAAATAGAGAAGTAAGCAAGAAGCAGGGCACAGCTGGCCTCAGGTGTCTTGCTTAGGGTTGTCATTGCTGTGACAAAACACCATGACCAAAAGGCAAGTTGGGGAGGAAAGGGTTTATTTGGCTTACACTGCAGCCCTGCTGTTCACCACCATAGGACGCCAGGACAGGAAGTCAAACTGAGCAGGAACCTGAGGCAGGAGCTGATGCAGAGGCCATGAAGGATGCTGCTTCCTGGCTTGTTCTTCATGGGTTACTCAGCCTGCTTCCTTCTAGAACCCAGGACCACCAGCCCAGGGTTGGCACCACGCACACTGGGCTGGGCCTCCCCCATCAGTCACTAATTGAGAAAATACCCCACAGACTTGTCTATAGCCACATTTTTTTGTAGTTTTATGTGCATTGGTGTTTTGCTGTGGCTTTGGATCCCTTGGAACTGGAGTTAGGCAGTTGTGAGCTGTCATGTGGGTGCTGGGAATTGAACCCGGGTCCTCCTGAAGAGCAGTCAGTGCTTGTAACCACTGAGCCATCTATCTAGCCCCCTATAGCCACGTCTTATGGGTGCCTTTTCTCAACTGAGTGTTCTTCCTCTCTAGTGACTATAGTTTGTGTCAAGTTGGTATAAAACTAGCCAGGACACCATGCAAATCTAAAATCCAATAGCACTTTAATTTTGAAGGCTCAGGATACATTCCTCTGTGTGTGTGTGTGTGTGTGTGTGTGTGTGTGTGTGTGTGTGTGTGTGTGTATGTGTGTGTGTGTAGGGCCAGCTAGGCCTTATGCAGCCCAGCCTCCATGGCTTTGCTGGGCTCAGCTGGGCTCAGCCGGTAGCTCTACGGTTTTGTCTTGATAGAGGTTTAGTCCCCATCACTCTCCTAGCCTTGCCCAAGTGAAAACTGTGGCAGCTCTGATTCCCACATTTTTACTTCATTAATTACTTGCCAACATCCTCACCCACAGCTTCATTAACATAGACTTTCAGAATTAAGTTTACAACATATATACTGCATAGCAGGAGAGGGACACCCTAAATGATTGTTCACTCAGATACTCACGGTAATTCCCACCTCTTCTGTTAAAACCTTGGATTTGCTCCAGTGATCACCCCCTCTCTTTGCTCTAGGGCCATACTGGATAAGAAGCTGGCTGCCTCTGTGAACATCTTGCCTAAGACATCCTCACTGTGAGTTTTGCCAAGGCCAGTGGAGGGGAGTTGGGAGTGTTAAGGTGGGGTCCTGGATGACAGAGCATGGACAAATGGTGAGCTGTCGGAGAACGTTTAAAAGGCATTTAATCAACACTTGACAGTTGACTTGCATCAGAGTTTATGTTTATTGTCAATTTATGTCACCCAAGGAAAGCAAAAAGAAAAAATATCGTGTATAGAGAAAGGAGGGAAAAGCCACGCTATTGCTCAACTGCTCACAGCCTTTTGAGCATGGCTCCATAACTTGGCTTTCCTTTTGATCTCTGGGCCTTAGCCTAAGTCTGTTGAATCAGTCTCTCTGGGGCTGAGGCCTAAGTTTCTGGATCTTTAAAATGTTTCCTAGGGGCTTATGAGTGTAGCTCAGTGGTAGAGCGCTTGCTTGCCTGTCATGCGTGTGGTCTGGGTTTGCTCTCCAGCATAACAAAAAGGGAAGAGGTGAGAAGGAACGGAGGGAGGCTGATAGAGGGAAGAAGAAAGGAAGGAAAAGGAAGGATGGAGGCCAGGAGACCTCATGTGAAATCTTAAGTTAGGAAGCTGTCTTCAAGAGACAACCTCCAGGAATGCCCTGGTGGGTCCTAATGTATTTGTTAGAATGGTTGGGCAAACCGACCTGTGGGACCTTGGCCAACTCTAGACTTCTTTTATGGGTGTCTTAGGGTTTCTATTGCTGCGATAAAACACTATTACCAAAAGGCAAGTTGGGGAGGAGAGGGTTTGTTTGTCTTAAACTTCCATATCACTGTCAAGGAACTCACACAAGGCAGGAATCTGGAGGCAGGAGCTGATGCAGAGTCCATGAAGGGTGCTGCTTCCTGTTTTGCTCAGTACACCTTCTTATAGAATCCAGGACCCGCAGCCCAGGGATGGCTCCACCCACAGTGGCCTGGGCCCTCCCACACCGATCACTAATTGAGAAAATGCTCCACAGGCTGGCCTGCAGCCCAGTCTTAGGGAGGCGTCTTCCCAGTTGAGCCTCCCTCTTCTCTGATCGCTCTAGCTTGTGCCAGAAAAATAGGTTTGGGGGAGATTGTAGCGTCTCCTCTTCAGTAATGCACCTGCTCTGGCAGGTTTGACGATTTGGCAGGCTCCTCTTGTGACTGTCACAGTTTGATTTTGTTCTCTTTTCTAGGTACTTTTGGAAGGGAGAAATTGAAGAATCCACTGAGATCTTGTTGGTAAGTGAGGACAGGGGCCGAGGTGGTTTTAATAGGACAATGAGTGACATCAGGGTCATTTTCCAGATTCTAGTTAAAAATCAGGGACAACCCTGGGTCTAGCTCAGTGACGACTTTTTACATGCAGCAGTCCTAAAGTTCAGTCTTCATAGAGAGAAAAAAAAAAAAAACATCAGTCAACTGATTGAGGCTCTTGCCCCACCTAAGATGTCTGAGGCTCATTAGCAATCTAGAGACCTGATCTGGTGACCTGTGAGGAATGCTAAATGGCCATAGGAATGGTGAGTTGAGCTGGATTCAGGTCCCACATTGTTGATTTTCTTCTTGTCACAGCTAATAAAGACAAAGACTTCCAAGGTCTCCAGGCTGTCCACCTACATGAGGTAAGGCTTCTCATTCATTCACCACAGGACCAGGCCAGGATGTTCTGGGCACTGAGGGAATGAAGCTGGGAAGTGGGAGAGCTGGGGTTTAGCCACTGCTGCCCATAAGACTCCTTGTCCTTCTCTGTGTCTCGGCTTCTCCATCTGGATAATGGACAGTAGAACGAGATGGTGTACACCGGTGGCTTCAGAATCTTGGTCTCAGGGCCTTTTCATACCTTAAAAAAGATTATTCAGACTCACAAAAGCATCACGGGTTAATTTCTAGCTTGTTCTAGTAATGCAGTCCTAAAGCTCACAGTTTGGGTCCCAGTGATTGATGTCAGTGGTTCACCAAGTGAGGGCTCTTTTCCTCTGAGGTCTCCAAGACTTTGATCAAGTCCATGAAAGTTAACTTTTTAGTCACAAGTGCTAAGGATTTTGAAAACTGTCTTTACCTTACCCAACAATAAAACCATTTATATGTTAATAACACGAATACCATATTTTTATGAAAAGTAGTCATATTTTTCCAAAACCAAGAAGTTAATGAGAAAATGGCATCATTCACATTTTGCAAATTGTGACTTTTATGGATAGCTGCTAGGGACAGTTTTAAGTTTACAATGACAATTACAGCCACTGTGGAGTGGATGGTGGCATACCCCCGCCATTAAAGACAGGAATACCATACACCAGGCAATTAATGATACTCCTACAAATACACCCAAAAGGGCCAGAAAACAGACTTAAATACTTGTGTGAAATATTGACAACAGCGATATTCACAGCAGGCCCATGGCAAATGCAGTTCCTTTGCTCATCCACACATGACTGGATGAACACTGGGAAACATAGTTTGCATGATGTGAACAAACCCCAAAAACATCATGCCAAGTGACATAAGCCAGAAACCAAAGGGCAAGGACTCTTCTAACCCAACAATATGAGATGAGCACAGTAGTCAAATTTATAGCCAGAAAGTCAGTCAAAGGTTACCCAGGACTGTCGGGAAGGGGCAGGGGCTACGGCTGAATGATATAGGGTTTCTGTGTAAGAAGATGAAGACGTTTTGCAAATGGAGAGTTGTGCAACTGCACATTTATACACTTAAAATGGTTAAAATGAGGCTGGGAAGGTCGCTCGGTTGGCGAAGTGCCTTATGCACGAGCGTGAGAATCTGAGTTTGGATCCCCAGAGTCCCCATAAACGCCAGGTGTGCTGCAATCCTGGTGCTGGGGGATCCCGGAAGCTTGCTGGCCAGGCAGTCTAGGTGTGAGTGAGCTCCAAGTTCAGTGAGAACCCTGGTCTCAAAAAACTCAGATGGAAAGTAACAAGAGAACACCAACACACACACACACACACACACACACACACACACACACACACACACACACACACACAGAGAGAGAGAGAGAGAGAGAGAGAGAGAGAGAGAGAGAGAAGATTTAGAAGTTTTGCTTGCAAACAATTCTCTCAATGACAATATGGAAGTTATGGAAGTTGTCCCCTTTTACCTCCAGTATTGGAGATGGGATTTTGTGTCACTTCAGACCTACTGAATGGAACTGCATTCCAAGAATCATACCTAGTGATTCTTGTCCACATTGCCACTTGAAGCATGGGTCTAACCATGTGTTACATTGTGCGAAGATACTTTTCAACTGTCCAACATAAGCACTACCTCATGGATTCCAACTTGGTTTGTGTGGTATAGGGTTCAAATGCATCATCATTATTATTATTATTATTTTATTCTTTCTTGTACATTACATCCCAGCCACAACCATAACATTTTATGCAGAGGACCTATCTCAGGCCCACACAGGGTTTGTGTTTTGTCACTTCAGGCTTTGTGGGCCACTGTGAGTCCTGCTTAGTTGATTCTTTGGATTTTCTTGTGGTGTCCTTGACCCCTTGGCTCCTACGATTCTTCCTCCCTCTCGTCAGTGGGGCTCCCCTGAGCTCCAGCTAATGTTTGGCTGTGGGCCTCTGCATCTGCTCCCATCAGTTGCTGCATGAAGCCTCTCTGATAACGACTGGGCTAGGCACCGATCTATGAGTATGGCAGAATGTCATTAGGAATCATTTTATTGACCTTTTATTTATTTATTTTTGCAAGTCATGTTTGGTTCTATCTTGGGTCTCTGGGCTGTCCTGGCTCTGTTTCCTGTCCATCCAGGCAGGTGTCTGGTGTGGGCTCCCTCTCATGGCATGGGCCTCAAGTTTGGACCAGTCATGGCTTGGCCACTCTCACAAGTTCTGTGCCACCATTACCCCAGAACATCTTGCAGGCAGGGTAGATTGTAGGTCAAGTACAGTGTTCTTAAGTATCATCCCAGGCTGACTGAATTGTGCAGCCTGGGCTACATGCCCTTGCTCTGCATGATAAAAGTTATTTCCTTCCTGTCTTAAGCAAACTAGGATGTCATGGCCATAGAGCTGTAGCTGAGTCTAAATTCTAACTACAGGGAAGGCCCTATTATTAACACATTGGCAGAGGTCAGGGAATGAGGCATCTTGATTGAACCAAAACTGAAACCTACATCTGACAGAGAGCTGATCTCCAGAATTTACAAAGAACTCAAGAAGCAAGCCTCCAAAACACCAAAGGATCCGATCAAAAAGTGGGCTACAGAACTAAATAGAGAATTGTCAGTAGAGGACTCTAAAATGGCTGAGAGACACTTAAGAAAGTGCTCAACCATTGAGCTGGGCTTCTTCGCCTTCTTCTATACCTATTATTCTTAGATTTGGTCTTTTCACGGTGTCCCATATTTCCTGGATATTTTGTGTTAAGGATTTGTTGGATTTAAGACTTTCTTTTGTCGATGAGTCTATTTCCTCTAGTTTATCTTCAGTGCATGAGAGTCTGTCTTCCATCTCTTGTATTCTGTTAGTTATGCTTGCAACTGTAGTTCCTGATTGTTTTTTCAGCCTTTCGATTTCCAGCATTACCTGAATCATAGAAGAAAATTTTCCCAACCTGAACAAGGAGATGCCTATGAAACTACAAGAAGCTTAACGAACACCAAATAGACTGGACCAAAAAAAAGTCCCCTCACCACAAAATAATCAAAACACCAAACATACAGAATAAAGAACGAATATTAAAAGCAGTAAAGGAAAAAGGCCAAGTAACATATAAAGGCAAACCTATCAGAATTACACCCAACTTCTCCATGGAAAATATGAAAGCCAGAAGGTCCTGGGTAGATGTTCTACAAACACTAAGAGATCACAGATTCCAGCCCAGACTACTATTCCCCGCAAAACTCTCAATCACTATAGAAGGAGAAAACAAAATATTCCATGACAAAACCAGATTTATGCAATACGTATCCACAAATCCAGCCCTACAGAAAGTTCTAGAAGGAAAACTCCGACACGAGGAAGTTAACTACACTCAAAATAACATGGGCAATAGATAATCTAACTTAACCAGAAATCAGAAAAACTCACACACAAAACCACCACCCAAAACGGATCCAAAGCAAACAAGAATCAACAATCAATGGCCATTAATATCCCTGAATACCAATTATCTTAACACCTATAAAAAGACACAGACTAACAGAATGGATACAAAGACAGAATCCATCCTTCTGCTGCATATAAGAAACACACCTCAATTTCAAAGACAGTCGCTACCTCAAGGTTAAGGGTTGGGAAAAGACTTGCCAATCAAATGGACATAAGAAGCAAGCAGGTGTAGCTATCCTAATATCCAACAAAATAGACTTCAAACTAAAATTAATCAAAAGAGATGAAGAAGGTCACTTCATATTCATCATAGGAAAAATCCATCAGGAAGAAGTCTCAATTCTGAACATATATGCCCCAAATATAAAGGCACCCATATGTTTCATAAAAGAAACATTACTACAACTCAAATCACACATTAAACCCCCACACACTTATAGTGGGAGACTTCAACACCCCACTCTCCAGACAGAAACTTAACAAAGAAACAAAGGAATTAACAGAAGTTATCACCCAATTGTGTTTAACAGACATCTATAGAACATTCCACCCAAACATAAAAGAATATACTTTCTTCTCAGTACCACATGGAACCTTCTCTAAAATCAACCACATTCTTGGCAGTACAGCAAACCTCAACAAATACAAAAAAAAATGTAATAACCCCCTGTACCCTTTCGGATCACCACAGCTTAAAATTAGAATTCACCATCAACACAGACTGCAGAAACCTCACAAACTCATGGAAACTGAACAATGCTCAATTACATCACCCCTGGGTAAAGGAAGAAATAAAGAAAAATAACAGATTTCCTAGAATTCAATGAAAATGAAGGCACAACATACTCAAACCTTTGGGATACTTTGAAAGCAGTCCTAAGAGGAAAATTCATAGCACTAAGTGCGCACATGAAGAAACTGGAGAATTACCACACTAGAGAATTAACAGAACAGCTGAAAGCTCTAGAACACAAAGAAGCAAACTCACCCAGGAGGAGTAGACGCCAGGAAATAATCAAATTGAGAACTGAAATCAATAAAGTAGAAACAAAGAAAACAATACAAAGAATCAATAAAACAAAGAGTTGATTATTTGAGAAAATCAACAAGATAGACAAACCTATATCAAACCTAACCAAAAGACAGAGAGAGAGCCGGGCGTTGGTGGCGCACGCCTTTAATCCCAGCACTCAGGAGGCAGAGACAGGCGGATCTCTGTGAGTTCGAGGCCAGCCTGGTCTACAGAGTGAGTTCAAGGACAGCCTCCAAAGCCACAGAGAAACCTTGTCTCGAAAAAAAAAAAACTAAAAAAAAAAAAAAGACAGAGAGAGAACATGCAAATTAACAAAATCAAATGAAAAGGGGGCATAACAACAGACACTGGGGAAATCTAAAGAATCATCAGGTCATACTGTGAAAATTTGCACTCCACCAAATTGGAAAATCTGAAGGAAATGGATGATTTTCTGGATAGATATCACTTACCAAAATTAAATCAAGAAGAGATAAACAATTTAAACAGATCTATATCCCCTAAA